AAAATTTCAAAATTTTTGAACATGCCCCATTATTGTTTTAAAAATCCCTAGTATTGACTTATTATTACACAAAATATAGGTAATTTTTCACAGAAAACAAAATAATTAATATTTACAATTAATTTAAAATAAAAATGTTATACCTACATTTTGATCTTAATTTTACTTACTAAGCGCCGATTCCACCGTTGTGTTAAACGGAGATTAAAATGACATTGTTAATGTAAAAATGTCATTTTAAACTTCGTTTAACACAACGGTGGAATCGGTCCTAAGCCAACCAATTTTTCCTAATCAATTCAATTTTAATATAATAATATGTGTAAAATTAAAAGATTGTTTTATGTCTGATTTACAAAAACTTTGAATTATTTATTCTAAATCTCTGTAAAAGTTTATCAGGCAACTAAATTTTAATGAATGTTCATGCAACCCACTTAGTCAAGCATTTTTTTCTGACTCCTTTATCCATTCATATTCTCAAGCTCTATTGAGTTGCCTAAACATATACGAAGACCAGTTGTTTTGAAATTTTATTGGTTAGGCAACTCTGGCACTGTACCACTCTTTTATCCTTTTACCCATCTATCCATCTATTTCAGTCCAGCTTAGTTGCAATGCCCATTGCAAAAGTCTCCATACCCACGGATATCTAAAACAAAACAAAATAATAAAGGTGTAGTGTATCTTAAAATTAATAATTAACATAGGTTTATATTCTTTTTTAAATGCTTAGAAATATCTTTAGTTTTTTATAATAAAAGGTACACAAATTTTCAACAATTTCGAAAAACAGACATCTGATTTATGCTCTTGGTAAACGAACCATGGAAAATTAACAAGTTCGTAAAATATAAAATTAATTTTTTAACAATGCATTCTATGTGTCCATTTTTGGGTAGTATTTGATAAATATATTTATAAATAGTACCCAAAAAATTGAACAATTTCTTTTTGAGCATAAATCAAATGCCTTTTTATCATATTCTTTTAAATGTGCAAACCTATGATGAGGTTCTACAATACCTGCTCGTAAATTGCCTGTACACACTTCCCATTTCTTACACGCGGTTTCTCTAATAAAGTTTTCTCGACACATTCAATTTTATCATTAAAAAATTCTACTTTCTTTTAGCTGATGTTATAATTGAAAAAGATAGTTTAATCAAAACATCACTAATTACATTTATTTTTGCAAGTAAATTTGATGAAGGCATTATAAGTTAATGACATCCTTAGAACCTCAGTATATTTTTACAGCTATAAATTACTTAAATCTAAAATAATTAATTAAATTTTACTCACCTACATTTTCTAAAAACATATGTCATTTTTTAGCTCAGAGTAAGTAAGTAGTAAAGAGAGGACAGTAAACAATGTTTGTGTCGCCATGATAATATGGTCGAGAATTCTAATTAGAGAGAAATAGAATAATATCTCTATCTCCTTGTTTGTATTTGTCAGTTTTACAAAGCATTTCTCAGACAATTATTCCAGTGTTTAATTTAAATTTGTTCGTGTTGTGGTGTTAAAAGTAATTGTTATTAATATTATATTCATAACAAAAAAGTCATATTTTGTTTTCACTTCGTTAAAAATGCACCTACCCACCTTTTAAAACATTTTATTTTATATTCTATTTGATCAACATTTTCGCATTTAAAATGACTCAGAGAAATTGTTTTACGGTACGCTACTGCTGAGAATTCTAAAACGAGTGAGAAAGCCTTCATTAGAAAGTGAGATACTGATTATATGATAGCGAGATTAATATTGTATAACTTTATGCAGTGGTGGCCTATCTGCTATTATATTATCCTCAGAGTAAGTAAGTAGTATTATCTAAGATATTATCTAAGTTTTTTAGTGCAACATAACCTAATTTATTATCAAAGCCAGATTTACACCACTTCTTAATATTCAAATTCAGCTTTAACTTTATATATTTATATTAATTATCCCCGTATTTGATCATATATTGTATTAAAGTGATATTTAAGAGGTTGCATTAGTAAAGTTATTGATTTCTTTAATATTTATTCATTTTTTAATTATTATATGAGTGTAAAAACGGCTTTATATTTAGTGATCGCAGCGCGTGAAGCGCGATATGATAAACTACAAACAAGGAAACAATTCCCGCCTATTATTCAAACCGAGATTCAAACATTCTGTTTTAGTTTTTCTATGGCACACACAGGTGGACACACTTAGGTGCTTATTTTTAATTCTTTAAGTTAATGACTGTCAAATATAAAATGTATATGTAAATCTTAAATAAATTAATAAAAAAATTATAACTCACTATTACAATTTATCTTTTCTATACAGCACTTTTAAAACTTCTATCAACAAAATTATCCTACACGCGTATGACTGCGATGGAAAACATTCGAATCGGTTTCTTGAGTTTCGAGATGGGTCTCGGTGTGGCCAGCGCTAGACTTCCTGTCGCGTGTACGGTAATAAACAAAGAACAGGATTGGCATCGCGTCACAATATTCTCTAACATTGCCATCAAAATTGACTTCCACGAGCTCCTGAGTTGCTAATATTTTATAGGGATGCATTTTATTTTCTTTTAATGTTCGAATAATCGATGAATGGCTAGTATCGAAACTTAAGCATAATATCCAATTTCTTATCATTAGTTTTTGCATTGTAAGCTGTTTTTTTATCTGCCTTACATATCCAAGCTCGCGAAACTGCTTCTCTGTTTTACTAATTGTCCCTTGGGATATACTCGGCAAATTTGGAAATTTTTCATGAAATAAGCGAGCAACTTCCATGTGTGTCCGTGTGTTATCTCGATAACCAATCATCTGTAGAATTGTTATTTTGTGCATTTCTGTTAAATTAATCATTTTTCTGATATGCAGTTAAGGAAATTCAAACGACTATTATACTGACAACTACTGTCATGCAGTCAGATAACAATTTGGTAAGGACAGGCGTTTTAAACAAAAGTAAACAAAACTATTTAAGTATAGCTGTTTTTTATTTCATATCAGTACATGGTGGGGTGCCCACCCATCTACTCTTCTTATGATTTATAAAGCCTTGGTTCGTAGTCATCTAGATTTTGGAAGTATTCTTTTCGGCCGTTGTTCGCAAGAGCTCTTGAAACGATTAGATAAAATGCAATATCAAGCTATTCGTGTAGTATTAGGTATGATGCGCTCAACACCAACTAATATATTGCTATCTGAAAGTGGAGAGTCAACCTTAAAGTCTCGAAGGAGTTGGTTAGCACTAAAATACGTAACTAAGATTTCATCCTATAAAAATTCCTTTTATTACTATATAAGTTCTTTGCACGAATGCTTTTTGAGAGACGTCCAGTTTTGGCCTGCCAATAAAATTGCACCAATTATGGAAGCGTTCCATGCTATTAGGCCTTTTCTTCAAGAAATTCATTTTTTAGATACCTTTCCGTGCTTTCAATTTCCCATAGAAATACAGGTTGCGACTATTCCTTTTATGGAATTAAATTTAGATAAATGTACATTCAATAAGCAAAATTTTATAATAGAAGCAAAGTCAAAATTTCCCAACTATACATTTTTATTTACTGATGGATCCAAAGATCGGCAGGGCAAAACTGGCGCTGGTATCTTTTCTACAAATTTAATTGACAAATCTTTTCGACTTCCAAATTTCTTTTCAATCTGTTCGGCCGAAATATATGCAATTAAAGAAGCGGTTATATTTATTATAACTGAGAATATTAGGAAGGCAGTTATTTTCAGCGACTCTAAAAGTGCTCTCCAAAAAATATCCAGTAATTGCATATCGAGTAAAATGGACTATTTAACATTAGAAATAAAACATAGTTTATTTAATGCAAAGAGTTTGGGGATAGATATTTGTCTAGCATGGATTCCTAGTCACTGCGGAATAACTGGAAATGAGGAAGTAGATGAACTGGCCAAAAAAGGCCGACTGCAAATATTAAATATTAATGCCAGGGTGCATCATAGTGAACTCTTGCCTTTTTTTAAATCCAATACATGGAAAAAATGGGAGGAGGAATATTAAGTGATATGCCAAGTTAAAGGGAAACTATATGGAGAAGTAATTCAAATTCCATTAAAGAGACCGTGGTTTGCAAAAATAAAAAATTTGAATAGAAGGGATATAAGTACCGTATGCAGATTAAGAAGCGGTCATTGTTTAAGTATGGTGCATCTAAAGAAAATAGGTGTAAAAGAAAATGATAGGTGTACGTGTGGAAAACTGGAGGATTTACAACATATTTTTTTTAATTGTCAAAATAATTTTTATAATATTTATACATTTTTAGATAGTTTAGATATTCCAAAAAATTTTATAAAACCTGTTACACTTTTTGATGTATTGTTTAAACTTCTGTCTTTCGGTAATGTTAAAAAATATCAAAATTTATACAAATGTCTAAAATTAAGCTGTAAAATATTGTAATTATTTACCTGTTGTTACCAAATGGCTGTATCATCTTAGCTATGTAGGCCAATAAATTATAAAAAAAAAAAAAAAAAAAAAAACGCTCAAATGGTTTTTGCTTACTTTCTCATTATCAAAACCTAAATGGGAAATAAGTATTGAGTGTGTTGTAGCGAATTTCTGTAATCAAACAATTTTATTTTGTTAATGTTAATTTTTGTAATAAATCGGCCAACATTTAATATTTTCGAAACAGTTAGGCATAGGACATAGTACATAAAATGTCTAGAATTTTCTGAAGAATACAAAAATTGAAAAATATACAAGGTGTTGCATTTAAAATAAGAAAGTTGGTATTGGCCACTGTTACATGATAACCCTGTATAAAAAGTTTTTGTTAAAAAAAATGCGCAACCAAAAATACCAATCGACGTGTCTGAGTGTTTTTCTGAACACGTCCCCATTTATTTATAACCGAATTTATTTCATTTGGCTGTTCCACACTGTATAATTACTACAAAAATACTCTGTACGTTTTTCTACTTCTCGATTTTAATTTAAAATACTGCATTTTTCAGAATTCGGATGCCTCGAGCCTCCTCTGCCAGGTCCCCATAGAATCGAATCTGCACAAAAACTCCGGCTCCTTTGAGTTCGAACTATCCGAAGTCTGCTCCAAATTACAGTCCACCGATATCCTAGAAATGGTCAAAAAGACCATCAACGATCAAATCCCGCCCAAAACGTGTCTCAGCTCGGAGGAACTGAGCGATAGGCTCAGCCTGGAGTACGAGGGCGGGCTTCAGATCGAACTGAAGATCGTCGATAAGCCGAGAGGCGACTCAAAAGGACTTAAGATGAGGCGGATATCGGGCGATCATTTGGTGTACAACCAGGTGTGCCAGCAGCTCATCTCCTGCATGACTGTTTCCTAGCATTTAAAGTAATTTTTCTGTTATTGTATTTTTTGTTTTGTTTCCGTGGTCATGATCCGAATGATTGTGATTAGATATTTGAGAGTGGATTTGAAAATTCCACGTGGATAGACACAAGAGGTAAAGAATCGAGCGTTTTTCCAGAAGGTGGGACTCTGTAACTAGACTCACTATTAAATGATAAAGTTTCATGAGTAACGATTTATATTTAGGTCAAAGTGGCCATTAAATATAAATATTCAGGATTGAGAATAATTTTTGACTAAACAATATTAAAAAATTGTTTTCCCAAGTTTTTATACCTATATGCTGTTCAGTTTCCTTTTAAATCCAGGGTGGCTAAACAAATTGACACAATTCACTGTGTATAATATTAATTAATATTTTTTCGAGTTCATGTGCTTTGACATGTCATTTTTATCATAAGTGACATTCTATTTGGTGATAATTTTGAAGTTTTAGCACTAGTATATTGAAATAAAATGCTGTTTATAATATTTTAACTATTTAACTAAAATTAAACACAAAAATTATGTTTCATTTGCTGATTTAATTTATATTATATTAAAATCACGATGAAAGACAATTATTATAGGTGTTTCAACTTCCCTAAAATCCCATATAAAAACAAAAGACGATATGGCACCAAACACAACGTAGTTCCAAAAAATCCACCAGAGGTCGTTAGAAGGTGAGGTAACCGTTTGACCATTAGAAGAGATAGATATAATATATTTTAACATCAACATGTATCCAACTTTAAGATCTGGCCATTAGATGATTAATAATAATAATAATAATAATAATAATACTCTCCCTAATTCACCCACTGACGAGTGAATGTCAACCCCTGAAGCCAACAGAGTGACTTGTGTAGGGGAAGGGACGGTATTTATTATTATTATTATTTCCCGTGGCGCTCCGTGAGGAAAACCTCACCCACCATCATTGGTCAATCATTTGACTTATACTAATGTTCACGGAGCATGACATCTACAGGGTGTCCAGAAATTAGACGGTCATATTTTAACAGCATAATCTACATCTTAAAATAGGAGTAAAAGTTAGGCCCGAAAACATTTCTTTTCCGAGATACAAATTATAATTTGTAGTGAAGTCCTGATGACACTCTTTTGTAAATATTTTCTAAACGCTCAAAGATAACTAAGTGAAATTTGGTACAAATTCTTACCTTTTTACGCTCTAGTTTATTTTTTTGACAGTTTTTAACATTTTTGACTATAAAATTTGAAAAACCAATGTTTTCTTTACAATAAAGTTACTTTTGTTGCATCTCGCTAGGACGTACCATTTTCAAGAAAAAAGCATTTGAAAATTTCATGATAAGTTATTCGAAAGTGTAAACAATAATTAGTAGGCCTGTGAAATCAGAAATTTTAATTTTTTTTTGCTTTGGAAAACCGGTGACTAAAGAAATTTTAGAAAATATTTACAAAAATGTGCCATCAGGACTTCACTTGTAACACCCTGTATTTCGAAAACGAAACGTTTTCGGACCTATGTTTATATGAACTTTTATTCCTATTTTAAGATGAAGATTACGCTGTTAAAATATGACCGTCTAATTTCGGGACACCCTGTATTTACGAACAAATATAATTGTATTTTATTTATAACTCTAATAGTATTGCAATATTATTTATTGTTGTTAGTTTAAAGTAATGTTTTTTTTTTCTTCATTGTTGAGGTCTAGTTCTAGTTATTGTTGATCTTAGATATGAATGATGTACCTGGATGTACTGATATCAAATGTTAATTTAGATATCAAAAGTAGAAGTTAACCATGTAGAAATAAAATAATAAAGACGCTAGTAATTGCTGTTATAAGGTATTTTCAATTTTTTAAGTGTGTCCATTTTATTAGAATTAGCAGTTCGGCTGTTAATACATCATCCGGATATAATGTAAACACGAATGGAATGATTGATAATAATTTGTTCTTTTTTTACATTTATAATGCAAGCTCTTGGCGAATACTACTTGAAAATACCTACCTTTCCTTCATTTTTCTTTATCAATCTGTGTGTAGCTACACCTACAAACCTTTATTTTGTAATGATTAAAGTAGTATAAGCTAATGAATCTATTGAAAATAATCCTCTGCGTATATATAATAAAAAGTTTAATACAACAGTTATTCATTTAGGTAATTATGATTTACAGATTCAGCATTTTTGAACCTACCCTTTACATCAATTTGCCTTCTAAGAACCACATTTTATTGCAATTAGGAGATCCCTCCATGTGAAAGAGTTTAGGACTGGTAACAAAATAAGCATGTATCATTGGAATGTGTTCATTAGTTTTCTAAAATATGTCAATTATAATTTAATACCTACTCTTCTGTAAACATAACATCAAAATGGCACTTAACACATTTTTTCAAAATCCATTTGAACAATATTTACAATTTTGTAGAAAAGAATACACACTATTTTCCTTATTTAATTATTGTTGCCTCGTACACACTTTGTTTTGATGAAATATATGGGTGGTATTATAGGTATGTGGTAGTATTTTTTCTTCTCGTTGTTTTCACTTTTCATTTCGTTTGTCACATAGAGTATGATTAGTAGACATTAATAAATTACCATTATTAAAAAAAAAATGGAACTTTTTACTTGATAAAGATAGAATTAACTGAATTTTTTTGACAGTTCACAGTCATTATTTGTTTTCATTTGCGGTACCTCTGGTGGATTTTTTGTTTGGTGCCGTATTTTAAAAAGAATTGAAACACCTGTAAAATGTCCTTCACCGGGAATAAAATGCGCTATTTTGCCCTAACTTGTAACATAATTTCCTTCCACAAAACATAAAACAAAAATATAGTTTTTGATCACTTCAATTTTTATAATCACGTATTATAAACTTGTAATTTGATTAGCACCGTGGTAACGAGTTTTTTGATAAGATTTTTTTAATACTGGCTTTTTCGTAATTCTTTTACGAAAATATACAATAGAAACTAGTTACTTTTGAGTGTTTAAAAAAATGTGCGAAATTGGCACGTCCGGATTTTTCGACTGAGCCAGCACTAGTTCTTGAATCTATTTTATGATGCAGATAATATTCGCAGGACCGTGTTAGTTTGTCATAAATACAAATATAATAATTATTCAGTATTAGGCATTTAAATATCGTTTAAAAGGTATTCATTATAATAAAATTACGCCATTAGTTTGTTATTTATTGATTTTTATATCTTCTTGAACCAAATCTAGCCGATCTTTTTTATAATGTAAATAAGTTTTATTTATGTAATATTACGTTACTTTACTGATCAATTTTGGCATTGAGAATTTAATACTGAATTCTTGTTGAATAATAATGTGTTAAAAATATTTTAGACCTTGTCTTATAGCTCAAATAGATACCCATCTTTTGATTGGTTAAAATTTGAATTATTTATTAAATTCTCCAATGAAAATGTTTTAAAATATCAACAATGTGGTCACCTTAAGATGGATCGAAGGTCTCGCCACATCGAAAGGTAACCGTCTTGCTGATTCACTAGCAAAGAAAGTAGCCAACCAAATACTTTTTGGACCTGTCCCTTCTATTGGCCTGACAAAATCGGTAGTGACAGACCTAATTAAAGAACATTCCCTTGTGAAATTCAAGGAAAGATGGGATGAAACAAGAAACTGCAGAGTTGCCAGGGAGCTCTTAAGTTATCCTGACAGCACTGCAGCAAACAAATACTTGACTATGACTAGACAGAATCTGCGCCTAGTCACAGGCATTCTGACTGGTCATTGCCAAGTACGGAAGCATCTCCATATCATGGGGTTGTCAGAATCCGCACTCTGCAGAGGTTGTGAACAAAAAGATGAGACCATCGAGCATATACTTTACGATTGCCCGACGCTCTCATTTATTAGAAGATTTCTGTTCGGCGAGTATGGGCTAACACCGGCCGATATAAGAGAAGCGCCTCTTGGCGACGTTGTCAACTACATAAAATCTGTAGGCTGGCTCACGAGCTAGGAGGTGCCTATCATCTCAGGAGGATGCACAATGGGCCTAATAAGGCCTCAGTGCCATGGGGATAACCCACCCTCCACATGTTACAGATATCTAAGGAAAAACGGAAAGCGACGTGGCAACGTTACATTTTTAGGTAGACTGCGAAAAAGAACTTTGACTTTCATAATCACCCCTGGATTTTAAAAGGAACTTAACGGCAATTTATTTTAAAACAACTATTGTACAGAAAATGCACACTATGTCTATACTTAGTTGAAAAAGAGTAATCAACTCTATAATATATTCATATATAAATAATCTTATCATTTTATGCAGGCAAATCAGAGCAGATAATGGATTTTTTATAACGGAAGAAATGCTCATGCTACAGACGAACATAAAGAATATAGAATCAAAAGTCAGACATAGAATATTTTACAGGAGAATTATCGGACTTCTTTACAAATTAACATGCAACAAGTTGGTGAGCTGGTGACCAAATAGGCAGTAGCTGTAGTTTCATCAAGATAGGCGTGTTTCTCACACAGAGTCCGTGAATAATTGAATAACCAATTTCTTAATTGATGGATAACCTGCTAGATATCCGAATTCGACTCCCATGGAATTTTTATGGGATAAATAAAAAAACTGTTTATTTAAACAGTAGGTTGTCAATATAATGAACGACATTGAAACATATCACTTTTGTATTTGTGAAGATTCAGGTCCGTAACAGAAAAAATCATGATGCTGACGACAGAAAATTAGTTTTTAAGCCTAAAGGATGCGGAATAAAAAAAAGTTTCAAAATTTGTAAAAAAGTGAACCTGATAAAAAACATGTAGTTTTATGGTTATTGGTTACAGAAACACGAAACGTCTGAGAAAAAAATTGATAACGGCAAAATAAAAAGAGTTAAAAAGAACCAAATAACACTGGAACAAAAATTCATAACAGTTTTAGGTTTAAATTTTAAATGATCAGGTAAATAAAGTCTTAGATCTGAATTGAATTCTTAATTAAACACACTGTATACCTTAATTCGTTTAGTTGATAGTTATGGAGTCCCACGAGAAGAAAGAAAGAAACGTCTCTTTGAATAAAACAAATTTCTATTGTTGACGGTGAAAGACAAGAAATATAGAATTTTATTGTTTCTATTTAATTTTTGTGATTGTTTTTATGATGATCTCTTTAGTTCTTTAGTCGAGCTGTAACGTGCTAATAGTGGAATCAAAATATTTTAGAACCCTTATAGATAGTTTAAAAAAAAAACTATTTCAAACATTTTTGAGGGAATACGAATGATCTGTACATTTTGAGGCTACTAACAAAAAAATATTTATCCAATTTTTTTTTTGGAATCACTAATCTTCATTTTCTGAAAAAAGATGTTGCTTTAAAAGTTATTAAACAGGTATTCAAGGGAATTGAGAAATTCTTTATTATATATAGATCACTATAAATTAAATAATTCCCCAAAAATGATATGAATACTCATCAAATGAGACTGGGTTAAAAAAAAAAGTTCCACTGACATTCTGTTTAAATTTTTATTTGCCATATTTTGTTTTTGACATTCCATAATATAATACGTTTTATTTTCGAAGAATGAATTTCGTTTATGGTTACCAGTTATATGAGATTTCTGAAATGTTTTGAGTAAGAAATATTCGGTAATAAGGAAGTTCTTATTATTCGATAGACCTGGTGTTTCAGAATAAGATATAAAACTAAGATACTAATTTTGGTCTTTAACTAACGAATTCTATTAACAAAATTTAATTTTAAAATTACACAAGGTGTGTCAGAAAAAGTTCAGTGACGATTTTTTCCAAACCTCATCTTTTCCTATGTACAGGGCGATAAAGTGAATATTTAGCTTGCCTTCAAATCACGGTATTCTTTTCTGAAACGCCCTGTATTTTTCTTAAATTTTACGAAATTGTTAATTTTCCTAATTATGGTCTTTAAAATTGTACTCTGAAATCTCATTTTAAATATATGTATTAAATTATTCAAAATTTTGAATCGCACTATGTACTCAATGGAAAATGTACCTTCTGGGCGTGGATGCTACAAGATAAAAGTTGTTGGGAAATAGATTAACTAATTTTTCACTTCCCAAAAAAAATTGTATTCTTGAAAGGACAGAAAGCCAAGTGAACGAAAATATGTGTTGAAAATTAATGCAGAGTTGTCAGATTGTTGTAGATAATCCGACTAATTAGACATTCCAAACAAAACTGTTGGGTATTGATATGGCAACCCTGTGGGTCTGGTGGATTTGTCAGGGTCAATGATATAGTTATATAGATGGTGCATCTATGTTTTTGAAAATAAACAAGTTTATACCTTGAAGTAAAAATAAAAATTTGTTTTAAAACACATTTTTGCTAAACCTATTCTGACTAATGAACATTTGCGAGGCAATCTGGCCGCTCGCAATGCGACTCTCTTTTAGCAATCTATATAACTTTATTATCATTGACCCTGTCAAAGCCCACATACAGCAATTTTGACAGTTCATTGGAATGCCTAATTAGAAACTACCATAGGCGAGTTCGGTCAGTCAGGGGCTGGAGCGGGACAAATTTTAGGGTGCTTTTAAATGACATTTAAGCGTGTTAAACTGTCACTAATCGGACTAAACCGAACGCTAAAAGAGTCGTTTGGAGTTAAAAGTGTTAAAGGAGTTAAAGGAACGTGGCAAACCGAACGCAATGCATGGAGTGTAGAGGAACACTCCATAATAACTACAATTTTGACAGAAAATGATACTATTCACGGTGACATTTGTACCAATATACTAAAAAAGAAAGTTATTTATGTCCAGATATCGATTATATTATATTGAATTAAGAGTATTTTATTATTTTTGCTTCCAAATCCATTTTAAAGTAAATAAAGCAAATATACACACTGTCTCAAAATGGACGCACAAATAGGTATACATGACAAAAAAAAAATTGAGTTGGAAGTTCATCTTATGGGGTTTGTGTAAAACGAATTACACCCCAAATATGAAGAAATTGCTAGTCATTCTATTATTACATTCCAATGTAATAATGGAGCAACTTTATTAAAATAAAATAAGTGTGATTTTGCTTTTCTTTATTTATATATTTTTTTTGTATCTTAAAAAATGAAGGTAGTTTTTTGGGTATTTAAAAAAAGCATCTAAATGGAGCAATTTTATTCACATTTGGTTTAACACAAAAGGATGAACCACACAAGATGAATGTACAACCGAAATTTTTGTCATTTACACCTATTGATTGACGCCTTCATTCTAGGACATAGTAGTTAGGATAGTCAGGGGCTGGAGCGGGATAAATGCGGAGTTTTTTAGGGTGCTTTTAAATGACATTTAAGCGTGTTAAACTGTCACTAATCGGACTAAACCGAACGCTAAAAGGGTCGTTTGGAGTAAAAAGTGTTAAAGGAGTTAAAGGAACTTGGCAGACCGAACGCAATGAGTGTATAAGAACACTTCAAAAAACTACCACTAACAACACACGCCATAAAAAATGAGGTTATGGATATATTTTTATTTTGTATAATTTTGGTGAATTCTATTTCAAGAATACGAATTTTTTCTCGATATTTCTATCTCCCCAATTTCAAGCATATGCAAAGCATTTATGGTGAGGTGAGACACCTGTTGTAGAATTTTCAATAGGCCTTTTCATCACAATTTTTTTTTGTGCGATGCGTCAGTATCAGCCATCTTTTTTGTACTGTTTTCGTAAACAAGCATGTTAAAATGACCACGTGAAAAAAATTATAATCGATAAATATTAATTTAAGTATTTTCATTTAAAAAAAGGAAGAAAAAGCAAAGTAATAATAAGTTTAGCGTGTTAATTGAAAAATACATTTTTGCAATCAATTAGAATACTTATGTTATCTGTACGGAAAGGAACAACGAAACGGTGTTGTTATGGAGTATGTAAGAGGGACACACGGTATAAATCATTCAATCATTATTTTATACATTTTCCAAAGCCTTGGCTGCAATATCGTAAAAAATTATCAAATTATCAGGCAAAATCCATATTAAAACATGTTCAAAATGTGCATTAGGTATGAAAAAAATGTGGTCGAAGTGACAACGGTTTTCGATCGATTGATAATGTTACTAAAGATTCATATATTTGATTACTACATTTGCATGGAGAAAGTGGTCCAACAGAAGAAAATTCTTATCTGGTATTACACAATATTTTTTTTAATATTAAATACCACTTCGGTATACACAGTAATATGATTAAAAATGTCATGTTGTTCCTCAAAATATTAAATAATGTATTTTATTAATTATAATCGTGATTAACTTTCATGTCAATTAAAGTATTTTTGCAAGTACTAATAGTTGGTTGGCATAATTAATTAGAATAGAGTTATAATTATTGTTTGTTTCCATTAATTTTTGACTCAGTTAAGAAGTATTGATACACCTAACCTCTCAATCAGTCCACTTTTTTCTTTTGTAACAAACGTCCAAGACACTTCACCAACTTTTCAACTGCTCACAACTATGTGCTTCCACAGAGTTATAAAAAAGTTAATCACCATCAACGATTTTTTCTAATGATTGATTTGTCTGTAGGGATAATATTGCTTTCCCAGCCATTGTCGATCAAAACAGTACGAAATATTTGAATTACCGCTATTTCAACATGGTGACTGCGCTTGCGCTCATCACATGATGAAAAGGCCTATTTAGAATAATGTGATCAAAAAAGTTTCTAATGTATAATTTAAAAAGATTAATTGTAAGGTCCGACATGCGTGATTTTTTCCATTGACTTTTTTATTAATCCATTTTATACTACAGAATGAAACTGAATGAAGTTGCATTTCCTTTTCCAAATGTGTTATTAAAACTTAAATAAGGACTTCCGTAAAAAAATCGTTGTTCTTATGTCTCTAAAAAATTGCCTTCTAGAGAATTTCATTCATAATGAATTTAAAACATAGTGATTTATTGTAAATAAGATTTCCAATAATGTATATATAGTGCACAACATTTATTATTGTATATATTTTCTGTAAAAGGAAAAGTTACAAGCTATATAAAAAACATTGTACTTTAGTATTAATCCATTTTTAATTCAACAAAATATTTAAATTTCTGGACTGCTGACTGTATAGAATATAGTTTTTTAAGTGTTGAAAATTCTAAAGAATAAACAGTTTTTCTTAAGCTTTTACCACTGTAAATGGTTCAAATTTAGCTAAAAATATGCAAATATCGACAAAATAATGCTTTCAGCAAACACTGTAATTAATAGCTATTGTAAATTAAAAACGGTACAGGTTATTATTCCAAATTTGACTTGGATGATTTACTTAATATAAATAAACTGTTTTAATTGCAACCGTGCTAAAATTGCTATATAATTTACAATACAAAAAACACTTGAGTGACTAATTTTATAATATTTGAAAGAAATAAAAGTTTTATGTGTTCTAAAAATGGGATACAAAATTCTTTTGTTGTGACAAAATACGGTCAAAAATAAATTTTGTATCTTAAAATTCTTGTTTTGCAAGACGTATTTTACTTTTTTTTTATAAAGATGACTATTATTAAATTATATAAATACCGAAACAGTGGAGAGAACTGCAAAAAATGGCTTTTAGTAAATTTCAAAACTTTTAAACTAATAAACGCTTTAGAACACTTTTAAAAAACGAATAGAATCATGCCAAAAATTGGGCCATTTAGCTAGTATGAATTGTTCTTAATATAAGACCTATAATAAAAATATAGTCTTTAATATTTTAAACAAGTTAAAAAATGCAATGAGTATTTAAATTAATACTCCCCCATATCAGACGCACAAAAATTCTGCTTTTTTTTAATGTTCAACAAAAAACTGCAATCCAATTCATGTAAAAATAGATAAATTGTACATTTTAGATATTTCTACACTGAAAAGGAACTTCTAATAATTCTCTCGTTTTTAATTTCAAATCTATTTTTGAGAAAAATGATTTAATGGTTTTAGCAAGATGTGGTCCCTATGTCAGCTTATTGCCTATTCCAAATTTGGATGTAGATCACCCCCAGGTGTTTCCAATCCTTAAGCAATCCTTTTCCTTCTTAAACAGACGTTTTCTTTTGTCATCAATCGATTGTATTTTTGTGATCTGTCGTCCTATGTATGACCGCTAATGTCCTATCGAGCAATTAATATAACTTTTTTAATTTAAAAAGAACGATTAATAACAAGAAACATTGTTATTGAGTCATACCTATACCCACCAAATTTTTTGGATAGTGTAGATAGAGTGATATCAAATTTCCGATTAATACATTACATTATATAACATTATGCTCTTAAGATTTTTAGATATGCCAACTTATAGATGTCCTTTTGAAAAAGTCACACAGTATTTAAAAGAGTAGCAGTATTTATAAAACGATGTGGATTCTTTCAAATCTTAATTCTAGAAATATTCTCTATATTGATTAGAAAACTTACAACCCCTAGGTAATTTTTATAACAATAATAAAATTTAATAGCCCTATGAATAGTTGATAATGCTTTTTCGAATAGAAATAAAAGAGTTATAATTCTGAATGTATGAACATTCATATAATCAATTTTCACTGTGTAATCTGCAATTTTGAAGGTATTTTAAAGGTAAATTAAAGTTTTACAAGAGCATTTCTGGGCCAATTAAAAACAATTTCTATCAATTGAACATCCTAATTAAAAATGTTTCTTTAAAATAGTTTGAAAATTATGAATTCTAAAGAGGTTGAGCAATACTGATGCACTAATAACTTTTCATTAAAGGATTCTTTTCTCTTTTTGTATAGAGTGTCAGTACAGTTTAATCTAAATTCAACATTTTGACTCTCCTGATAAAATATTATTTTTACAAAATTTGTATTTGAAAAATATTCACATATTTCACTCAACAAATAGATAAAAAAGCTGTAATTGTATAAACCATGTTTTCTTCTTCATTAGTAAACTGATATAAGCCCTAAAGTCAAATTGCAGACAAATATTATTGATATAACTAAAAGAAACATGGATTATAAAATATCACAACTTTTAATCGCTTGAACTTGTAGTAAAATGCGCATGTTGTAATACAGCATATTGTATATTTTTATAAATATTGTAAATAAGCAAACTTGTAACATTCCTTGAGGTAAGATTTTCTTATGAATCTTTGCCGTTATCACTTAGCACAAATCGTTAAAATGTTTACGTTTGTTTCAGAACTAATCTTTTGATTGTAAATCGGAACCAATAAAGTAATTCAAAAGTGTCAATAGTCTGTACTAACGACTTTAAATAAATGAAATAAATTCAGACAATTTAAATTGACGGATTTTAAATTTTGTGTTTATATACCATTCTTACTTATAAAAAAGCACGATTGGTCAAAATCTGTTCATTTTTAAATAGTTTCTATTTTTAATAAAACTGTTTTTAATTCGTGTACTAATAATTGTTGCAAGTTGAGAGCTGGAAATGTGGCAAAAGCAAATACATCAGTAAATATGAACTAGGAAAATGGAAAAAGGGTGAGTTTATTGACACTTCTGAAAAAAATAACTATTTAGATTTTATGTCTAATGATTATTATGTAGATTTATATCAAATATATATGTTTGGTAACTACATAATAAAGGTTATAAAGATTAGTATTTTCTGTCAATTGAAATCTGTGATGTCAATAAAATGAATTACCAATATTGATAATGTATTTATTTTTCATTTTCCTTAGAATTTTGTTTTACAATTAAAATATTTCCTATTACAGATCGAAGCTTCATTTTGCAGGTAACAAAGGTAAATTAATGACATTTTCAAATATAATATACAGATTTTGTAACACTAACCAGAGTCCAAAGAATCTAATAAATAATAAGATCAGAAAGTTGTTCTGTTCCATGTATCAAGAAAAATTGACAACATACGAGGCTGGGCTGAGAAATAATCGGCCTCGGCAAGAGTAGGAACAAATGCAATTGTTTTTTGTAAAAACTATCTTTCAAGTGACTTCTGTCAAATTTTCAGCGAGCTGCGTCACATAGTTTGTACTTGACAGTGATTGAAGGCAAACATATTTTTGCATTTTTACAAAAATGAATAAAATCGAATATCGCGAAGTTATTAGATTCTTGTTTTTAAAAAAGAAAACGAACGATGAGATCAAAATCGAACTGGATGATTTGTATGGGGACTCTGCACCTTCGTTATCAACATTAAAATATTATACTGCCGAATTTAAACGCGGTTATACGATAATTTTTGTTGATGAGTCCAAGAGAGGTCACCACACCAGAAGTGGTCGATAAAATCCATGGTATGGTAATTGACGATCGACGGGTAAGAGTGTGATATTGCTGAGGCTGTGGCCATCTCACGTGAACGAGTGGAGAATATATTGCACGAATATTTGGGAATGACGAAGCTCGCTGCCAGATGGGTACCGCGTTTGCTCAATGCCGACAACAAGCGAAACCGTGTGACAACTTCAAAGGAGTGTTTGGCAATGTTTAACCACAATAAGAAGGACGTTTTGTAACCGGATGAAACATGGATTCATCACAATACGCTAGAGACGAAGGAACAGTCAAAGCAGTGGGTTTCTCAGGGCGAGTCAAAGCCAAAGAAAGCCAAGGTGGGTCTGTCTGCCAACAAGGTCATGGCCACAGTTTTTTGGGATGCGCACGGTATTATTCATATCGATTACCTTGAAAAGGGCAAAACCATCACCGGCTATTATTACTCAAAGCTGTTGGACCGATTCGACGACGATTTGAAGCAAAAACGACCGCATTTAGCGAAGAAGAAAGTGCTCTTCCACCAGGACAACGCACCGGCGCACAAATGTGCAGTCGCAATGGCAAAACTATGAATTTCGTTACGAATTGGTTCCGCATCCGCCATACTCCCCAGATTTGGCGCCCAGCGACTATTATCTATTTCCAGACTTGAAAAAATGGCTTGGTGGTAAGAGATTTGAGTCGAATGGGGAGGTCATCGCTGCGACAGAGGCCTATTTTAAGGACTTCGAGAAATCGTATTATTCGAAGGGCATCGAAAAATTGGAGAATCGTTGGACAAAGTATATAGAGCTTAAAGAGGACATGTTGAGAAATAAATTGAGTTTTGCCAAAAAAAGTTGTGTTTTCTTGCCTCGTAGTGCCTAAAGTTATACTTTCAAATTTTCCCTATCCAGTTTGTAGTCTAATATTTCAGTATTTTAGCTCTTATGTGTCTATAGCCAGTGATCAGAAATAGGCCAATCAAATTAATATTTTTTGAGGAATTAATTTCCAGCAAGCTGGAAATCGTTTTAATAACTTTATTCGGTCCTAAATCCGTGTAATCTAAGTTTGGACCTTAATTACCAGAAACAATATCACTGGAATGAACATGCTCATCTATACAGATAGCAGACAAGCACTACTCACCTTAAACAGACCACGAATTTATTCAGGGTTAGTACTAGAATGTCACGAAGTTTTGGCCGAAGTATCCATCAACAACGTGGTCACCTTAGGATGGATGAAAGGTCACGCCACATCGAAAGGGCCAGTGTAATATCCCTAGTTTCCTTAAGAACTACAATTATTTTATTATTTTTCCCGTACTTCTTAATTATAATAAAACTCAATTAAATGCTGAATTGAAAGTGCCTTTATTCCGTGATTCCACATTGAAGCCGACGTTATCGCCATACAGTAAAAAACAGTACAAGATACCAGAATAGAAATTAATTGTATAGGGTGATGTCCATATATAATAATACAGTTTATTTAATACATTACACATTCTCACCCTAAAAATGAAACATACCTACATACATAAAAGATGATTTCACTAAAATGTGTATTAGGCTGAAAAAGAAAACTTTGTTATCGCACTTAACACTTTTCACTCGCTAAATTTAGCTTTATACAAAATAGGAAGGAAAGGAAAACAAACTGAAGAACAATTTCAAACTACTATGTTAACATTTTTATACTATAACAATATTATCTAGGTCTTAGAAAATACCTAGACGATCCTGCTTCAGAACTCTCAGGATTGCTGATATTTTCTTCAGACTTTTTATTCATACATGCCGAAGAATCAAAACTGTTTGTATTCGCAATATTTTCTACATCGGTACTATCAATAGACAGTTTATTATCGACTGTTTTAGCAGTTGACGGTTGTCTTGCTGATTCACTAGCAAAGAAAGTAGCCAACCAAATACTTTTTGGACTTAGCCCTTCCATTGGCCTGACAAAATCGGTAGTGACAGACCTAATTAATGAACATTTCCTAGTGAAATTCAAGGAAAGATGGGATGAAATAAGAAACTGCAGAGTTGCCAGGGAGCTTTTAAGTTATCCTGACAACACGGCAGCAAACAAATGCTTGACTATGACTAGACAGAATCAGCGTCTAGTCACAGGTATTCTGACTGGTCATTGCCAAGTACGGAAGCATCTCCATATCATGGGGCTGTCAGAATCCGCTCTCTGCAGAAGGTGCGAACAAGAAGATGAGACTATCGAGCATATCCTCTACGATTGCTCGACACTCTCTTTTATTAGAAGATTTATGTTCGACGAGTATCGGCTAACACCGGCCGATATAAGAGAAGCACCTCTTGGAGACGTCAACTACATCAAATCTGTAGGCTGGATCACGAGCTAGGAGGACGCACAATGGGCCTAGTGAGGCCTAAGTGCCGTGGGGGTAACCCACCCTCCACACGTTACAGAGAAGTTTGCACCTTCACAGGAGGTGAGCATGACTTTGTAGCCAAAAAAACTGCCAAATTTTTGCTTGTAGCTGGAAAACGATGCGTCGGACGGAAAATATCATTCCATTCAATATTAAAAAGAACTAAATTCTGCGTCATAAAACTTTTAATTCGGTTCAGTGGTATAGCCAGAATTAATAGAGATGGGGACAAATTTTCATTTCGGTGCAAACTTACATTTTTCGGCTTTCTGAAGCAAGTACTCTTCTGCAGATGAGGTGTTCACTGAAACAATGACTGAAACCATGCCGAAAGAACAATTTTTCCCCAATGACTATAACAAAGAACGGCTTATTTCCATGCTGCTTGAGAAATTGGTACAGCATGGGTTTGAAGTCAGGATAAGTATTGAGGATGCTGATACCCTTATTGTCAACACTGCCATTCAATTGGCCAGTAACTTTGCGACGGTCATCATAATCGAGGATGACACCGATTTATTGATCCTATTAACTACAAAAGCACCAAATTCATCAAACATGTACGTCATGAAACCTGGAAAGGAAACCTCCCAGAACACGTTCTGCTCACCCAGGTACTTCAACTTCTCGTCTGTTGTCAAACAGAACCTCCTGTTCCTACGTGCAATCAGTGGGTGTAATACAACTTCTGCATTCTATCGCCAAGGGAAGTTGAAATTTGTCAAGCTACTTCAAAAGAACACGACATTACAAGAGAGTGTCAACGTTTTTCATCATGCAGATACTGATGATCCTGAGATTCTCATTTCAGCAGGTCAACTGTTTTTGGCAGCCCTCTATTCACCTAACAGATATTTTCAAAATCCCTAACAAAGCCAACTTTCAATCTGGCCTGTCTACCTCCAACAAATGCAGCCGCCGTCCAACATATTCTGCGGGTGTACCTTTAAGTCCAGGGCTGGTATGCTAAACCAAAGGATCCTCTCAGCTGGGCTTGGAGGAGGACAGACCTTGTTATTCTCCCCATCATAAACACCAAGGATCCAGCTCCAGCTGAAATTCTCAACACAATATTGTCCTACAAATGTACGAAGGAGTGTACAGGGAAGTGCAGCTGTCGAATAGTAGGCATGAAATGTTCAACAATATGCCTCGACTGCAAAGGCTCGAATTCAGCACCCTTCGAGGATGAGAGTGTGAGCCACATTGCCGTAGAAGCAAAAATAGGTGAGTATAGTCCCTTTGAAGATGATCCCGATGAAGAGGGCTTCGATTTGTAACCGCATCTTCAGAGCTTCTCAGATTAAGAGTCATCAATAACTTGCTACAATCCCAAACTAATTTTACTGAATTAAACAATAACAGTAGATGTCGAAGTAAAATTTGAAAATTATTGCCATGTTCCCTGCGAGAGTTATGCTATACATAAACAAAAATTATGATTATTCAAATTTTAAAACATTTCGATTGCGTGACAATTATTGGTGTAAAGTTGTAAAAGTGGATTTAAATCTTAGATAAAAGAAAAAATTAAATTCTACAGTTTGTATAGTAGATGATGAGTGGTACCACCATCTACTTCTGATTCTCAATTTATTGAAGATTTAGAAGAAATTTGTGTTGTTTTATTTTCTAGAAACTATCGTTGTTAGTTGGCGATTTTAATGGACAAAAAATAAAAAAATTGTTTTCATCTTATTACTAACACTAGCAAAACTTTGGTGGATTATGTACTTTGTAATCAAAACAATATAATGGCTGGTGTGCACGATTGTCCAAAAATAACTGATCATTCTGTTATTTCAGTGACTATGTCTAATAATAATAATCATTCTAGTAATAATATAGTCAAATTTAAGCTGTGGAAACCTAGATAAAATCAAAACTAGTGTTATAATGTGTCATTTTAATTTAGATTCGGTTGATGTTGATACTATTTATCAGGAGTTTTTTGCGTAATCAATAATATATCACCAATAGAAACATGCCATTATAAATCAAAATTGCACTGGTTTGATTATGATGTATGTATTTGATAAAATTAGACAGCGTGGTAGGACTTTTAAAAATTATAAAATATGTATTGATGGCAATGAAAAACAACATAAATGACAAGTTTATAAGCAACATAAAAATGTGGTAGTGAATACGTTGAAGCTAAAAAAGAGCAGTATTACTTTAATAAAATAGATAAGTATAGAAATAATCCAAAACAAATGGGGAAAACTTTAAAAAAAATTGTTAATGATAATAGCCGAGATAAAGCAAACTCTGTAATCTTTGAAACTACAGCAGAAAGATAATTGAAAGTATTGAGAATATTGTAATGTGGTCTAATGTAAATAATAACATATTACATTTTTGTTTTAATGGTGTCTTTGCCTTTGACAACTTAGGTCATTAGCCTTATGTTCTATATAGGTTATGGATTGTACTAGTAGTCTAATACTACATAGTGCAGGAGTGCTAGTAATCTAATAACATTTTAAATGCTTTCCATGCAGGATTTAGACAAATTAGTTAATTTAATTTCGCGCAATACACTTTTCCACTTTTGAAAAGTGTGTTTGAACTGGTCAACTTTTCAGACTAGTCCGTCGTATTTGTCTGCGGACTTTTTTGGGGACATCACTACTTATTAAAGATTTATTGGTAATACAAAACTTTGTTAAAATTAAATTTTTTATTTGTACTACTCGAATCTCTAGTCTGGTTGTGTATATTTAACATTGCATAGCAATAAAAAGTGCTGATTTGGTACAAAATTTCGATATTTTCTTACCTTAAATGATTTAAAATAACTCGAAAAAGTCGAAAAAACCGATTTTGATATGATGCCAAATTTCGAATTTAAAAATTAAGGTATCTGTATAACGTGAAAGTTTATTCTGTATAACTTTTATTCCATGGGTTTTTTATAGGAGTATCTGTTTTCAAGATATGTGGTCTTGGAAAGCCACAAAATGTAAGTTTGCACCGAAATAAGAAATGGTCACCTCCTGGGATGGTGCAAACTCAGATTACACGCATTTAGGACTAAATAAAGGTATTAAAACGATTTCCAGCTTGCTGGAAATTAATTCCTCAGAACGATTTTTTTCTATTTAATTTTATTAGCCTGAAAGGGCATCGATGAATTGAAAGTGTATTAGTATAGATACTCGGAACAAAATTAATAGTTAGTCTGTGAGACTAGTTTTAAGGATGCCACGAGATTCTTTTGAGAAAAAACTTATTTATATATATTTATCGTTCTACAAAAAAATATTCGGTCCACTCGGTATAGAAAAGTTAATAAGAATATTCACCGATTTTTTGGGTTACTATAGGTCTGTTCCAACAACGATCAGAAACGAGTGATCAGGTTTTCTCTACCGAGTGGACCAAATTTTATTAAAAAATGTTAAAAGTATTGTCATAAATATGAAGACTAGATATAAGGAGGCGAATCGGAAATGATCAAATTTCTGTCCTTTTTATAAAGTTCGCTAAATTGACTGTAGTTGGCAGGTCGAACGTCACTGAGGTTCATTTTCTATATAAGTCAATGTAAAATGAGGTGATTTTTTAAAAAAATTGGTGGAATCAAAATAATGTGAAAAAAAGTACCTAAGTACAAGTAACATGAGTGACAAAAAACATTAAAGCAAGATTTACTTCATTCGACATTGTAAAACAGGATACAAATCGCATGTAAAACTAAATAAAACAAGGAGAAATCAATTCAATGTCTTTTTAAAGCTTCTAATGTAAGTAAAATAATGTATTTGTCTAAATATAATATTTATTGTAAACTATAGTCACAACTCGTATCACGGAGTGTAGTTTATTTTATTACAAGTTTCTATAAAATAAAATTGTAGTCATAGATTCTCACTTACAAACAACAATAATTATACATTAAATTTAACTTACTAGAAAAGAAAATTTATTTTTTATAAAGTTTTAATGTTAGATAAAGAGTTGCTACTGTTATTTTTTTGTTGAACCCCAATTTTGACATTGTAAATTTTTTTATAGGATCGTAAACGCTTAGAACAGTGGTAGCATATATATCGTTCCTAGGGCCGATAAAGCACTTTTTAGAGATGATGCCATAGGATGATGCTGTTCTACACTTTTAGAAGATATTTTCAAATATGAGACTCTTTTTACTGATGGTACTGTTAGCAAAATAAGGGGAAAGCCGAAATTAAAGGATGTGGCAATATCATATATATATTCCCAAATCTTCCATTCTGCTTTTATTATAACAATAAAAAATCTGTTGTGTTTATTTTGCTCTTTATTACTATATTTAGTTATAATTCAAAAAAATTTAGACGCAACATTGTACTTACCAAATTTCACCATTGTTAATCTTTTCGAATTGAGTCATACCTACCTAAATTGCATTTTATATAGATAAAATTAAATAAGTAATCAATTAAAACATGCGAGACTTATTTAGAAATAAATACAACAGTATATTCTGTTCTTTATTTGGCAATAAACAAGTTTATTTTTATTATTTTGACAAAATTATATAAAATTCCCATAAGAAGCCATGTATTTTGAATAGCGGTAATAGCACCAGCGCCCTTGCGGTGAATTAAAAAAGCTCAATTAGCGTTCGTGAGTTGGGACCGTATTTCGAGTATGCCGATTCGCCTCCTTATCTCTTAGTCTTCATAGTCATAAATAAGTTTCATCTTAAAACCTTCAATGTTCACAAACAATATTTCATAAACAAGTCCAATAAAGAAATTATATTTGTATAGTTTGAAAAAGGGGGAAAATATTTATAATTCAAAAGATCACAAAAATATAATAATACTTTAAAAATAAAATATAGACTAGTTTCATAGTTAAAAAAATATATAAATTCTATATAGAACTTAATAAACTAATTCCTGATTTTATTGAATAATAATAAAATTGAAGTACCAATGATTTAACGCAAGGACAGAAGTTGAAAAGTAACCAAAGTAAACGCGAAACTTTGACGTAGAAAATTATTTTATAAATGCTAATAAAAATTTCGCGTAAATAGTTTAATAAATTGTGAATAGCTGTTGAAGTTTTGTAGAATTATGATTGAAATATTACAACTTATTTAAATAATTATTTGTAGCCCACAAATGGATACGTTTGCCAGAATTTAAAATATTTGGTATTATTTTTATTATATGATACAATGGCGAACAAACATTACCGCGAAATTCTGGAAGTCATCGGACGGGGTTTGACGTTTACCATCTCTCTATCTACCAAAAGCCTTTCCAATTTCTGTCCCTGCTATAATTACAAAGCTTTAGAATTTATATGCAATTTTTTTATATCTAAAAGTAAAGATTAATTTCAAAACTTTATAATTTAAAAAAAATGGGTTTTTAACACATTGAGTGCCACCATGAACAAAAAAAAATCGAGCGCTGAGGCCGAATTTATTTATTTTTTTTTTTTTTTTCAATAAATCATATTGAAATTGTGTTTTACATCATATTTAGTCAGTTTTAGAACAATATAAAAAACTAGTTTTTTTTTTTAAATTTGGTCTCCACAGCCATAAGAGAGGCTTGTTTGCTTGGCTATAACTTTTTTCATGTCTGTTGGACAAATAACTCTATTTTTTTATATTATGTGTAAAAAGCAAACAGAAAAATAAAATGTTTTCCAGAATATAGTCTTTTTACAAAAATATATTTTTGAAGTCAATTTTCTGTATGGTGCCACGTCAACTCGTATTAACAGGCCAAATATACACACAACCAAACTTATATGGAATCATCTATTATTTTTCATAATTTTTGAGATGTATGAACATTTTTTTGTTTATGAATAAAACTCAGTCCTTACCTTTACTTTTAATGGCAAATAACCCACATAGCAATAAAAATAATTAATTAGTTGACAAAATAAACAGAAGGGTATTTTTTTGGTTTCCGAAACGAAGTGAGATTTAAATTTTTAAAAGCCGGAAAGCAAAAACAGAAAGAAAATTGGTAATTTTAACAATTCGTGTTATCACCTCTAACCCTATTCGCTTTGGCATGCTTCTTATTAAATTGTCAACATTGTCTTGGGGTATGTTTTCCCATTCTGCTAATGCTGCATTTTGTTGTTTTTTGGACCGAACTAAAATTACCGGAGAATCGTGATTTTACTTCTGAACACCAAATTCACAAGATAATAAATCTCAGCAGTTGTTTCTTCTTTATTATCATGTTTGTTAAGAACAAAAGGCCTTATCTTAAAGTTAGTTATCAATTTTTTTCCTTGCAAAACGTTTATTCAGAAATACACAGTGATTCCATATAAGTTTGGTTGTGTGTATAGTATAAGATCCGAAGTAAGGTTGACCTCCACCCATCTGTTTAATGGATGAAAGTTTTTTTTTATTAAATAAAATGTTTATAAATATATCGCAAATGGGTTGCCTATGAAAATACTGTCAAGACTATTTATTTACTTAAAGTAAAAAAAAACAAAAACAACCCTATACATTATTACCCAGATGCTTTGACTATGCCCAAAATTTAATTAGCTCACCACAGGATAGATTAAAGTTTAAATTTAAAATTTGATGTTTCTTTATCTTCAAAATTCGAACTTTGTACTTTTCCTTAAATATCTCGAATACGGTCCATTTTAGGGAAATCATGTATATGGCGAAAATTATAGAGATTGACATCATAAGCAACTTTTATCATGATTCCTATACTTTCCTTATCTGGTTACAGAAAGGAAATTAAAAAGAGAGCCAGGGGGTGGATGGCTCAGTGGTAGAGCTTCTGCCTGTGGATCCAAGGGTCCCAGGTTCGAATCCCACCGTTGGCCGGAATTTTTTCATTTAATTTCATTATATAAAATTAATTCTGATGCCTTGGTAGGATTCCCCACTCGGCCATTCACTGTTTGGTTCTAATGAACAGTGCTGTTCCTAAAGTGGCGCTGGGAAACAGTAACAAAGCCTACACAGAACATGAGGCGGAATAACATTAGCAGTTGAAGCCGATGACACACAAAAAAAAAGCGGTGACAGTATTTTCTTAGGCAACACATTTGCGGTATATTTTATTTAATAAAAAAAAACTTTCATCCGTTAAACAGGCCATAATTTTTATCATGGCGGTAGAATAAAAGGAATGTATGAGTCCAACGCAGCTTCATATATTAAAATGTGTCAACACTATACACGAGTCTACAATGGTCTCATATAGCCTGTAGGTCCCAAAGTTATATGAGACCATGGTATCATCTGGCACTCAACGTGTTAAAATTACTAAACTGGCTATATTTGGGTTTTAAACAAAATTTAAAGTCAACATTCCATAGGTACTTATATAGCAATTTTATCAAAAAAAAAAAAAAATGTATAAAAATTAAAATATTTCATACACAATGTCTTAAATCTTGAAAATTAAAGATTATTGTGCATCAGACTTGATTAGTTTCATCACTGGAACAACCTTAAATATCCATAAGCCTGTTTTTCTTACTAATTTATATAGTGCTTTACTATTTATGAATTTATCACATGCTCATAAAAGTACTCTAAAGTTAAAAAACACTGTGTAGAAATAATAAAAAAAAAACTAAACATTGTCAACTGCTACTCCAATTCTAAAATCGTTATTAGGGTCTTGCAAGCAAATTCTTATATTTGTTTCAAATTTATTTTTAATATTTGAAAATTCCATTATATCTTTAGGTCTGCACTCCATCCAAAATCTGTCAAATTCATAAAATAGATAACTATAAAAGTGATGAAATAATCTTATAGAAGGTACATTTTCTATATTATATGCATACGTTTTTGCACACCCTTCTTTTAATAATGTCCATGCTAAACTTGTTAAATTTATACCTACTATTGCAAAACAGTAACCATGTACAGGATGATATGAATGACTTAATACATGTTGAGCAGCAGAACGATATACTGTAGCAAAAAAAACTAAATTTTCTAAACCTAATAGACCCATTCCTCTGAAATCTGTCTTTGGATCTTCACCTTGAAAACCAATATCTTGCCATTGTTTTGTTATTCTCTCTGAAATTCAATAATAGTGTCAGTTTAACTTATTTTAATATTGACATGATTCGTACTTTATAAATCACAAAGTACCTTCTTTTGAAAATGGTATCCCTAAAACGTTTGCCAGAAATTAAATGCCAACAAAACCACCCGGCTTTACATTTATATAAAATCTATAAGAATAACAGTATCCTAAGATAAATTTTCTGGGGTTGGGTCAAAATTAGAATAAAGAAAAAATCTCAGAAAAAATGGTCACAATATGCCACTTACAAGATTGGTTAAAATGTTTACATCTGGTATGTCATTCATACAAAATCTATAAAAGGACAGTATCCTATATAAGATCATTTTCAGAGGTTCGGTAAAATTAAAATAGAGGAAAAAATGGACAGCATTTCACTGAAATGTTATGAGTTCCACCAGATTTAAAGAATTTTGATTTATCAATTATTGTCAGAGGGTTGGGAAAAATTTCGAGAAAGGCAATTAGGTAGCATTGGGGATTAGGCAGACCTTGTAGTTATAATTACTTTTTGGATTAACAATGCTCATATTATATATTTACCTTCTAATGGTTCATCAGGCTTTAGTTTACTCCACAACTTGTACAACTGATCTTCATGTTCAGGGTTATCACTATCATATTGAGTTGTCCTTAACTGTTCAACTTCTGCTATAAGTTGCCTGTATCCCCATATATATTCAACACACCTTCCAAAACTTATAACAAACTGACTATGAATCCTAGGATCAATTTTTTTTACTAATAGTACTACCCTAACTGCTCCTTGCAATACTTCGTTCTGATTTGAACCAATGAATCCCATTCTATCTGATATACTATTTAAGTGTAAAATAAGTTGTTTAATTTGAAGCTGTTTTGACATTGATAATGAATATTCGACTGCGTTGGTTCTAGGTGCTCCCTTAACTTCGCCATAGCAGATTCTTTGCAATTCACACAAACCTGTTGTTCTCCTTAAAAACCACTTTATTGCAGATCGAAAATAGTATGTAAAAATGCACCAAAATGAGAAGTTCATTTCGGTTTCTCAATATCGTCTTAAAATTTGTGTATATATATATTTTTTACATTTTTTAGTTTGTGTGGTTAATTAAAAATAAGGTATCTTTTGTTTTGACGTTTGTTGATTTGTTGACATTGTCAAAAGTATGACGTGTTCCGTTGGCATGGCGACTAGTCGATATATCGTATGAATCGATAAATTTTACTTTATTCATATCGATATTTCAATATATCGTCGAGAGCAGAATAGTAGAGCAGGATCAGCAGTGCCTGGGGGGCTATTTTCAAACTCGAGAGAATTCATTTCTCTTAAGAGAAATGTCATACGTCAACGTAAAACAGTATTTTTAGGGCCAGTGTGAACTCACTGATTGTTTCTCTCGGTTTATTTAGAAATAATTAAAATTCTCCTAGGAATTTTAATCCTTGAGGCCTTTAAAAACAGGGTTTCTACATTGACATATGACATTTCTGATGAGAATCTTGAGAGAAATGAGTACTCCCATACTTTGAAAATAGCCCCGCAGTGGGAGCAGTGCGGCAGTGTTTCCTCCAATGCACCATTGGGCAGTGTATTCTAAAATATGTTTTTTTATTTTTTAAACAATACGAATACATCTACGTAAAAATGTATCCTTATAATAGAGTGTTTTGTGTTATACAGCTTCATGAGAAGGAAGCTAGTCATGTGATGACTGATGATTGCTTATTTAATCAACGTGCATGTTATAGATACCTACGTTATATTAAACTTAACATTAATTTAGGTACCTCAGTTGCCTTTCTTAACTTAATATTAATTTATGACTTAACCCCTTTCATATACGTGCGCAACAGCGCTTTCATAATTACGCTAGCGCCCTCTAGATCTAGGCAGGTATATTATGGTCTGTGGGTATATTTTTATTTACTTAGCTAAGACGGTCCTGGCTTGTATTTGAAAATTTTACGATTTTTAATTTTCATAACTTGTTTCCACAAAGTCACAAACCAAATTTTAAATAGGTAGGTAGTATCCGTAGGTGTTTACTCAAATTTCGAGATTGATATGTAGGTACCTATCTAACCAATTATTGACGATATGAAATTTCTCTAAAGTAGGTACCTATAGGGTACCTAGGTATAAGCAAATAGGTAGGTACTTTTTACACCTATTTGTAGGTATATACCTACCCATAGTACCTACCTATATAGCACCCTACATTTTTATAACAGGCTTTGCAAAATTAATTTCTACAAGTAATAGGTACCTACCAAAGATATCGGATAATATGATGTCTATGGTACCTATCTACCTATTTTTTTATTACCTACATAGGTAGGTACCTTTTAAAAATGTATTTTCCTAGGTATGCCTACCTATACAGGTATTTTGTTATAGGTACAAATATTAATATAGGTACATGTCAACTAGGTACCTATTTACTGATTTTGTGATTTTATTTAGTTCGTAATAAATATAAAATGATGCAAGGAAAAGGCGTATGACAAACGTTTTCAATAATTTTAATGACGCACACCCTAATTTTATGTAAATTCTGAGTTACCGCCCTTATAAGCATTTGTTTACAGTACACTCCGAGCCAACGACTGTATTAAATTCAATAATTATACCCAAACAATCTGCAAACAACCTTCGTAGTTTCTTTGTTCGGCCTTTTTATTCATTTTTACAATAAACAACGAAGCGCAAAAACCGCTTCAGCCTCAACAAAGCCAGATATTTTGTTTTTTATTTTTTGTGTCGTCTTGAATGTTTATAGCGCGGAGTGTATCAAGCCGGCAAATTGCAAATGGCGGCAATGAAAATCTATAAATAAATATCGTATTTCCAATCGTTACCACGTTTTTAGTTTAACAAAAAATTGTGTTTGGTCGCGTTTTATCAAAGTTTACGCATTTTTACACAAAAATCGGTAAGTGCACTATTGGTTTCAGTGAGAAATGTTGATTAAAAGCATGTTGTTTATATTTTAAAATCGTTCGTACACCCCCAGTGAGAACAAGTAAATATTGTATAACGCCGAATCGAGTTACGACATACGTTTCGTTCCTTACATGCTTCTAACATACGTTCTTAGCCCGACTTAACTACAGACTTGAGTCTTAGATAAGTTCTGTTAAGCAATATAATTATTTAAGTGATACATTTTGCATTAAAAGTTTTTATCGATCTTTTAAGATTTTTTTTCTTGTGTTGGTGGAATTTTAAAGAATTTTTAAGAATAATAAGGTAATATAAATGTATTTGCATGCTGGAGTAATATATTGAATGATTTATTATTGCTATGTTATTGTTTTTGTTGTAATATTTTTTCATACCATTATTTAAGGGTTAGCCAAAATGGCGAGGCGTGCTTTTATATAATGTTTATTTTAATAATTGTTATTTTTAAACGTAACACTCAGCCTGATTCATATTTATGTTTAATCATCTACAGAGTATGTTTTGTTAACTATTTTGTTGAAATTCTAAACTGCTGGAGCTAATTATAACTAATTAATGTTTATTTTTGCGTAGCTGCGCTGCTTCGAGTAGGCCGTGCAAACAATTTATTTAAAATTCGTAGTTTTTATAATATTCCATAAAATAGGTTATGTTTTGGTGAAAAATACATTTTGAGACGTGAGTTTGTTTTGGTCAATTTTTTCGGCGAATTCGCTCGGGTGAACGCTCTTGCACCCCATGCTACGAATTTTTGTTTTTCGCATGTGGTAAGTTAAATAATGTTCAATTTTGTCTTTTCTTTATTCAATTTTGAGCTATCTTTTTAACATTCATCATAATAATTTATAAATCCGTACAGCTTCCCAGGTATTTTTTTACATTCACATAGGTGGATATTTATTAGATTTTTTTAACAAAAATGACATCGGCATTGATTAGAATTAGCCCTGTTTCGTGTAGTCTTTTTTTACTATTTTCCAGCGCCACTTTAGGTTTAGCTCTAGTGCGGATTCGAACCTTGCAGCTACGCAATGTAGGCTCTCACAACTGGAAAACATGAAATTTTTGAATGAACTACCTATCCTATTCATTCAAAAATAAACTGCTTTTACGAATGCTCCTCCAGTTTCCCTAAAGTGCACCATTTTTTTCAAGTCAAGGCTAATAGTACCTCATCCCCTCCCCCCCCCCCCCCAGGTTTTTTGCCTAGGTATATAACCCCTCTCATCTTTTCACCTATAAGCGCATCCTAATACTTTTAGGAGCCGAATTTACAAAGCATCTTTAAATTTACCCACATGTAAAACCTTAAAGATAGAAAAGCAATTATAATGAATGTCCAGTAGAGTTGAACGATATTTCATAACTGTTATTTAATTGATTTGAGGAAACATAACCTCATTTATTTGAATTTTACACAGTAATGATTCAAAGTGGTTCCAACTCTAATTTTTCTCTGGACTGACGTTGACATTTCTATATTTAATGATTTACACGTAGGTAACTATTTAAAAATGGTATGTGAATACAATGTTTTTCATTATTTTGTCCCGACTTATACCCTGTTCATCCAACGTCATTGTCACTTCTATTGAAAAATCAATTTCTCAAAGTTATTTTTTTAACAGAAAAAATATTTTTTCTACTCCTATGTCAGTAAACGTTAAAAATCGCACTGTCAACGTTTCTTGTAAATGACATTTAACAATAACATGCCCGTAATGTGATCTCATAACATACACGTGCGTTTTTATTTGGTCTATTTACATAAATTAGTCAATTGAAAAACATAAAAACTTTAGCAGTAGCGAGATACATTTTGGATTAAAAAAGTGATGCTCCTAAATGTCGGCAACACATTATACAATTTTTCAAAAAATAAGTCGCGTTTTCTAGCATGCTATGGAAATAAACGTCTTATCATTTATATTGTCAATTTTTGTAACAAAATACCTATTATTGTATTGGAACATTTTCTCAACTTTGCCTATGAATATATCTGTTAGTAGTGAAAGTGATAAAATAATGAGCACTCCACCGGAGATTTTAGAATAATTTGTTACCGCTAAAATTCAAAAAAAGGTACGAAATTACCTATGGAAAATTTATAGAAAAAGTATAGTACGTTACACGAGTTGTAAGCCCATTACGTACGCTTTTTCACTTCGTGCGTAATGGGTTACTTACAACTCTTGTTACGTAATATACTACAACGCCTTGTGAGATCAAAAAGTCGACTGTTCTAAGCTGTATCAAGGAAGCAACAACCATTGTCGGTATTTTTGCGCTTTTATGTTAAACCAGCGAATGCTTCAGGAGCGCATATTACTCTGAATTAACAGTATTTGGTTTTCCAGTGCAATAGTACCAACACGTTCACTTTTAGAGAAAAAAAGAAGGAACCATTTTGTTCCTAACATGAGATTTTTTGACGCAGACTGGTATTTTTTGTTGCTGGATCATAATTAATTGTATATTCATTATTCGTAAACTGCAATGATATATTTTTTAAAATTTTTTTAAATCTCTCATAATAATGTACACTGTTCCACCCTGACTTCTTTCTGCGTCCGGGACGCGCACATCTCAAACATCGCTTTCATGCACGATTATTTGTGCTGCTGTCTATCTAACTAAATTTCTTGGAAAGTTTTACGACGGTCCAACATAATAATTTTTCCAAGAGCTTCCACAGTTTCAGACGTAACAGCAGTGGACGTCTCGTTTAAGGCTCACCTTTTAATATTCCTCTGTCCCTTTTAAACTCTACAAACCAATTAAAGATAATGGCTCTTGAAGGACGTGAATAATAAAAAACTTGAAAGTCTTAAGACACTACGACAAAAATAGCACGAATATGAAAACTTGTATTTTTTCAAAAGTACGTTGTTTACTCGTGCAATAGTCTTGCATTATAGATGCGATAATCGTTAAGGTATGGTGCATTTCTAGCCTTTCTCTGAACTTCAGTTGGCTCAATTAATGTTTTATTAACGCCTGTATGCACCGTACACGTTTAATCCGTGTACGGGCATAAGTCTACAGTCAGGCTGGTAACCGTGACCGGTTAACCGGTTCCATAGGACCAAAAAACCGTTAAAGAACGTAACCGGTTTATAACCGTATTTATGTGTACCAGCCATATCATCTTCCAGTGAATGGGTGTTTTCCAGTACAGGAAAAGAAACCGCTTGCTGCCGGAAAACGTTGATAAGTTGTTTTTTTCTGCATCAGAACTCAATAAAAAAAAAGGCAGTTTTGTTATTATTTCTTATTTTATGTCTCAATTAATTATAATTTATTTTTGAATGTTTTTTTTACTTGAATATAGTTTGTTTTTTAGTTTTACCTACTTACCCACCCAGTGGGAAGTGAGTAACTGTGTCCTTTTTTAAATTTTAAATAAAGTTTAGCAAAAGTAAAATTGGTACTATTTCTATTATTCTAATTTAATTTTTATTTAGTGAGTGCCTATTTTAAAAAAAATCAAACATGCACGCCTGGTTGTCACAGGTAAGGAAAGGTGAAATGGGTAGTAAAGTGACCCCATTTATATTGAAAACAAAGGATTTGATGGATGTGTTTTGCCACGATTAAGCCGGTGATGGTTACAGTTAAACCAGTAACGAATAAACCAGTGACGGGTTTAACTGGTTACGGTTAAACCGCCGAATCCGGTCTAACGTCCGTTTCGACTGGCTCGGTTTGATCGGACCGGTTAACCGGATAATCGGACCGATCAACCGGATAATCTGACCGGTTAACCTGACCGGTCGACCGAATAATCGGACCGGATAAACCGGTCAAAATCAGTCGAACCGGTTAACCGTTTATCACGTCAGGAATTGACAGCCTACAGTATGGCGGGCCACCACCATCGTTCATGAACGATGTAATTAGGACTTCGGTCACATTGACTGGTGCCTTTGATCTTCTTTGTACATTATTTTGCCGAAGAACGCCGACGAACTCCCGGGAAATAAGCGTTGGTCGTCTCTCATATGAACTGCGACCACAGATCACTTACTTTTAGAATGGTGCAATGTTAAAATTCGAGACAGTTTTGTAGCGCCCGGTGAGCGTTCTTTGAACTATTTGGACGGAAGTGGCGCCATCTCGCGGTCACTTTAGTTAACACAAAACGCGGGAACATTCAAAATTGTCATTCAATATTTAGTTTAAAAGTGGTAGTCAAATTAAGATTTTTACGTTTATTGTAGCAATAAAATTATATTTGTTACAATAAAGCAAAAAATGAGTAGTATGAACCAATCCTAACTTGACTACAAGTTGAAATATTTTATTATTTATTAGTACAAAAAATTAAAAAGCATGATCAACAAAATTAATTTATTAAAACAAAACAAAAAATACAAATAGAATAATTAGCGTGTTAAATAGCTGGAAAGTTAAGTCATTGTCCACAGAGGTTGAAGAGTTTTATCTAGAACAAAAAATAAATATTAATAAATCAAGATGGGTACAGGAAGAAAAAGCAGCTAAGCCACATTTTTATCAAAATTGAACTGGTCCGCCCTATTTTGTAAAATACCAGTATGTTTCCATGTAATAAGCCAAATTAGCAAATGCAAAACAGTGCATTTAAAATTATGTCCATGGACTTAGCATCTTTTCCTGCTGTTTGTTTGGCATTTTCAGAATTTAGAATAATAAATTACAACTGTCTAGTAAATTAAGTGGTAAACTACAAAATAATCAGGCAACATTTAAACAAAGTAACATCTTTTTGTAATCAATTACCTTAAAGTATCAAAAGTTTGTATTTAGTCAGTCTAAATTAAATTTGGTTTCCTGAACATTTTGGTAATTGTGACTTGGCCCCTTTTTTTCCTGAACCCTTCAAATTTGTTAGGGAGCACAGAAAGTGAGGCATGAATAAATAAAGATATATTGACCATTATTTCCCGGACTAGGCTATTTTGTCTTCCACAATCCAATATTGCCATTCCAAACGGCTTGAAGTAAGTTTGTACTAGAACAAATAAAAAACAGTAAAAGTAACAATCTGAACTAAATCAATATAAAAATCAAATGTGAGGCATGAATACAAAAAGTACAGTGACTATTACTTCCCTGACTAGGCTGTTTTTGTCTTCAACGATGCAATACTCCCACTCCAAACGGCTTGAAAAAGTTTGTACTGGAACAAATAAAAATACAGTTAGATCGCTGCGTGTACCAAGAACTTTAAACATATCTTCAAAACGTTTATCACATACTAAATAGTTTTTACAAATTTATTGTTTTATTCTTGAAAAACGGAC